CACATAGTTATTCAAACCAACTACCAACAGATGCTCTGGTTGCTCCCTCACTCCACCCACGGGAGCTCTTCCAACAGTCCAGGGCTTTGCCTTTGAGGGGCACTCTGAAATTGGACTGCTTGAGTTCAAATCGTTGCTCTGCTACTTGCCCTAACATCTCAAGGCCTCAGTTTCTTCCTCTGAAAAGCATGGATGATAAGGTATGATAAGATTCTGTTCTCTGATCTCATGTTTCTTTCTTTCTTCCTGTCCCCCTCTCCCCCCTCCCCACCTTGGTTGTAGGGCTTGAACTCAGGGCTTGGGCGCTAAGCTTTTTCACTCAAGGCTAATGCTCTACCAACTGAGCACAGCTCCAGTTCCAGTGTTCTGACGGTTAATTGGAGATAAGAGTCTCACAGAGTTTTCTTTTCTTTTTTTGGGTCAGGTCGTGGAGCCTGAACTCTGGGCCTAGGCGCTGTCCCTCAGCTCTTCAGCTCAAGGCTAGCGCTCTTCCACTTGAGCCAGAGCGCCACTTCTGGCTTTTTTCTTTTTTCTTATGTGGTGCTGAGGAATCGAACCCAGAGCCTCATGCATGCAAGGCAAGTGCTCTACCACTGAGCCACCTTCCCGGCCCCTCACAGACTTTTCTTGCTTGGACTGGCTTTGAACCACAATCCTCAGATCTCAGCCTCCTGAGTAGCTAGGATTACAGGCGTGAGCCACTGGCACTTGGCTTCCTTAAATGATACTCTAGGCTGAGTAAAACTTACGCTTTGGACCCCTGTATCTTCTAGGAACTGAAAGTGGTACTGCAGGCTGGGGAGTATGTGAGTGTGCATGCTGAGTGTGCATGCATGCACACACACACTCACTGAAGCACTCACACATGTTGTGTCATCTGAGTCTTAGAAACATACTGAGCAGGATTCAGGAACTAAAGCTAGTATATTGAAGAATAAAAAAACTACACAGAGAGGTTAAGCGCTTGGTCTTGGGGCACACAGCTGAAAATGATGGGCAGGGATTTAAATCCAGGCCAGTCAGATCCACACCCCTTCCAAAGAACCACAAGACTGTACAAGCAACCAGGGGTATATGGAGCTGGACCAGGGGCTGTGAGGTGGGAGGAGAGAAAGGGCAGCAGGGGGCTGCTGCAGCAGGCCAAAGACACTGGCCCTTATTATTCCCACAGCCAGGCCTGGCCTTGGCACCCTGGAGGTTGGCCCACGCCTTAGCCTTTTGGTCTAATCCCTGTCTCACCCTGCCTGGAACAGAGCTGACCACGCAGTCTCTGTGTGGTGCCCCATCTCAGTTCCTCTCAGTAAACCTGCATGATAAATGCCTGGTAGGGGGCAGCTGGGAGGTGAGTGGGTGTAGGGACTGCCCTGGGCCTGAAATAGGGCTGGAGGGAGAGGGGACTGAGCAAACAGACCAGGTTCCGGTCCAGACCCAGCTGAACTTTCTCCAGGCCCTCAGGCAAGCTGCTGCCTTTTCCCAGTCTCCTTTGGCTCATCTCTACAATGGGCTGTCCTCTGTAGAAAGGTACATAGTCCTGAGAAGGTTGAGTGAACACTAGAAGCTGTCCAGACATCATCTAGCCGAGAGCTGTTAGAGACTTGATAGGCACCATCTTCTCTATATTAATGAGCCCACTTAACAGATGGGACTGGCAAGGACAAAAAAACTGGGTCACACATGAAGGCACTAGGATTTGGACCCAAGCCTTTACCATGATATTCTCCCGCTACACCAAGGCCTCTAGAAAGGCATGTACACCTTGGGTAGTCAAAGACTATGGAGAAGCCCCGCAGTGGTTCCTTGCACCCCTCCCTTGGGGTCACAGGCTGGTCCAGGGTCTCAGGGGAGGTTTCTGGGTCTGGTGATGCCATCAGAGACACTCAGAGGTCCCTGCCCACCTGAGGGCCTAGGAGCCAGCGACCCCCTAGATCACAGGAGGAGCTGGCGCCAGAACCCAGCTGAGGCTGGGCTGGGGCTGGGGCCCCAGGGGAGGGGAAGGCGCCAACTCCAGACTTGGGGAAACAATGGGTACATCTCTGCTTTCTTCTCCTGGGCTCTGTCTGGGGTCAATGACACACCTCTTCGTCCTCACCTATGGGTGGGGGCAGAATTATGGGAGGACAGTCATCTCCCCCCACCCCCATCACCTGTTTCTAAAGTCCACCTGGCTTAAGACCCGATGGGAGATGGGGTTGGAAGGGGCATTCAGATCAGGGTCTTCAGTAGTTACCCAGCAGGGCCCCTCCCCCAACATCCTTGGCTTCTACCTGGCAGACCTCCTGCCTCCTGGTCTAGGCTGAGCAGTCTGTACCTGCCTGAGACACACCTGACCAGGTGGGCACAGCCCAAATCCACGGAGGATCTAGGCCATGAGGGCCTAGCAGCTATGCCTGGGACTCGGGGTGTTTCCGGGACCCCGGACCACCCCAGCCAGCCCCCACCTCTAATGGACCACCTTCAGCCGGGGGGTGGGTGGTGGGCGGGGGGACTGGACGGGCTGACCGGCCTTCCTGCCGGTCCTGGGACCTCCACGCGGACCCCAGACCTAGCCGAAGCGCCGGAGCCGGGGCGGTGGGGAGGCGGCCTCCGAGCGCCCGGGTGGTTGCGGACCCCGCAGGACGTGGCGTGGCGTGGCGGAAGGAGCTGCGCCCCGACTCTGCGGCAGCTGCGGGGTCCGGGGCAGAGGCCGGGGCGGCGGGAAGGCCTGACGGTCCTGGGGAGAGCCCCCATGCCCGGGCTGCGGGCTGGGTGTCGGGACCCCAGGTCCGGGTCGGGGAGGGGCCGCGCAGGTAGAGGCGCGAGCCGGCGGGCGGGGCGCGCGCGACCGGGGAGTCTCACCTGAAATTGGGAGGCGACGCGATGTGCAGCCCCAGGAACGGGGAGGCGGCGGACGGGGACGCGGCCCCCCCGCCCAGGCCGCCGCTCTCTCGCTCCGCCATTCTCGGGCGCAGCCCTGGCCATCCGGGCGGAGCGCGGCGCGGGAGGCAGCGGCGGCGGCGGCGGCGGCGGCGCGGGAGGCGGGGGCGCGGCGAGGAGGCCGCCGCCGCCGCGGGGCCGGGGCTGGGGCCGGGGCAGGCGCGGCTCCGGTGCGCACGCGGCTCGCGAGCCCGACGAGTGCGCCCCGCGCGCGCCCCCGGGCCGGCCGGGGTCTCGTGGCCCCGCCCCGATCGCGTCTGGCCCCGCCCCCGGAGCTCTCCGAGGTGCTGAAGCCCCCTCCCCCGCCCTAAACCCAACCCAGACTCTGCCCCCGCCCCGCAAAGACCCCCGGTGGTGGGCTTGGCCTCAGGGGGGCGCTTGGCGTCCAACGTCAGGCAACTCTGGGGACCCCGCCCTCCCCCCACGGGAGAGACAAAGAAGGTGGGTGGGAAAGGAGGGTGGGGAGGAGAGGTGAGAGCAGACAGGTGAAGCGGACAGGCAGTGGCCCCGTGCCAGTGACCTCACAGCTCCAAGCCTCGGCTCCCCAGCTGCGAAATGGGGGCAACCATGAGCCCAAGGTGGTGGTGGGGACGGAATTTAATAGAAACACACAACGTGATCTAGAGCTGGGTACCACCAGCTTCCGGATCCCCGCCTGCCTCATTCCCGTTCCCTTTGAGGGCTGCTATCCCAAACCCAGTGCTCTCTCAAGACGGGTCCCCCTTTACCCCCAGCCAGCTACTCATGGCTGAGCCCTGCGCTTGGATTCCCAACCCTTGGCGCCTCCTTCCCCCAGTGTTGTCCCTCAAATGCATGTTCTGCGGGGCGGGCACCCCTCTTATACCCAGACACACCCCAGGGTGGCTTCTTGCATTTTAAGACCTGTGACCTTGCCTCCTGTCCTCTGGGTGGCTTCCTGGGATTTGTTTGGTTGCTTCTGTTCCCTCCATCCCTGCTGCTGTCATTTCCTCCTGTCTCTCCTTTAAGGCCCTCTGCCCCAGGTCAGGTTCTCACCAGCCAAACCTCACTGCTCCTCTGGCCTCCTGAATCACATAGCTCCTACCTTCCATAGGACAAGGCAGGACAGGGAGACAAAGCAAAGGAGTCCAGCTTGCAAATCTCAACTGCCAGCTGGCCACACTGGCCCTTTCCCTCCATGTGGTAAACCACAGGGACCTGCCCTGGAATAAGCAATCCCCTGCTCCAGCCCCAAGAACATTCCAGAACCTAAGGTGGTGGCAAACTCTTTTCTCCCTGCCATTAGGGCCCAAAGGGGTGGTGTGGCACTTTACTTTCTATTTTGGCTCAAGCGGCTCACACTAGGCCCTCCCAGGAACCATCTGCTACTGTGGTGCCTGCCTTTTCCTCCCAAGAAAGCAGTCGTGCCTAATTAACATGGCTAATGAGAATGGCTGCTTGTGTCAGCTCAGACACACTCTTAGGAGTCAGGTGTACATTTCTGTGTAAGACAGCTCCTTCTTCCAGAACCTTATGCTCCCAGGTTCAACCAAAACCACACAAAATGCCTTAAGAAGCGGGGGGTGGGGGGGGGGGGTGCGCACCAGCTCAGATCTTGGTGGGAAGGAGGTCAGCACATACTTCAAAGCAGATCCAAGGAGGAGCTGGGTCAAGCCCCTCCTCTTCCTCTCTCAGCAGGGCTGATTGGGGGTTTTTGAATGGCTTTGGCTTTGCCTGGTCCCTTTCCCTGCAGGACAGCCATGCACATGGAACTCTGGCCAGATGGCCTAAGACAAAGCCAGCACCCAGGCCTCAGGTGTGGCTGTGGCAGATTTCAACTTGCCCCTCACCGCACTGCTGCATGCAGTGGCTACATAGGGTGAAGGGTGGGTTGAAGGCCCAGCCACAGAGCAGAGCTCAGAAACTGGTCTAGCCCAGTGTGTTCTGCACTGTTCTCCCAACTGACCCCAGCTCTGGACCTGCCACTGGGAGCTGGCCTTAAGTCTGTCTCCAAGGAGGAAGAGGCTTCCAGCCCCAGCAGAAGCAAGGTGGTCTGGCCAGAAACATCCCTCAGCCCCTGGTCCCCAGATCCTCATGAGACTGACAACACAGCTTAACTTAGACAGGATCAGACATTTATAAAACAAATGAATATTCACAAACTGTGGGAAAAACACTTTTGCAGCAATAGAAGAAAAAAACCCTATAAAGTGCATTTTTTTCTGCGACCATCTCTTCCCCATGCTGGCCCTTGGAGCAGGATTCGGGGTACTGTCTGTCCTGTGGCAGCTCCAGAGTCACTTGGGCTAGAAGGGAGGCATGAAGCTGCTGGAGCCCCTGGCCCCTGCACACTGTGCCCCATAGCTTTGGGACAGGACTGCTTTGTTCCACTGAAGCCATCCTGGAAACAGGCCAGCACTCCAGCAATAGTGGAGGGTGGGGTGGCCTTGCCAACTTGCTTGTCAGGGAAGAGTGTCATCATTGAACAGGCAGGAAAGTCATCCCAGGGGTTGAAGGCACTTCTCAGTAAGAACTGAATGTAGCCCTCAGCCCTGACCCTCAGCAGGCTGACCCTTCATGTGCAGTCCTCTCCCCCTGGCAAGACCCCCCCACTCCTCCCTGGCGGGAGCTGAGGGCAGAGGGAAGACCCTACCACAACGCTCTGCATCCACCTCATCACCTGTGTTTGTTTCCCACATGGCCTTGGGACATACTAGGTGAGATGACAAACACAACAGTTGGACTCTAAAAGCAGGTCTCTGCTGAAAAAAACCTGGGGACATCTCAGGAAGAACCCTGACAATATGCTGGACAGTTGTAGGAGACAGGAGCCTGGCCCCTCGTCCTGGCTGAGGACAGAGGACAAAGAGGGCCAGGGGGTGAACAGCTCTGAGGCTAGGAAAGGTCACAGGGGAGGTAGAGAGGAAAAGGCCCAGAGGCCAGCTTAATGTTATACGTGAGAACAATCTAAACAGGAATTAGCCTTTGAGCTTTATGGGTAGACGTAGACACACACACACACACACACACGCACGCACGCACGCACGCACGCACGCACGCACGCACACACACACACACACACACACACAGAGTGGCTCAAGTGCAGGCCACGGGGGTGGAAGGAAGACTTGCTCTGGTTGACCACAGTCCTTTCTTTTCAGGATTGCTTTCTCCACATGGGCCTGTGGACGTGGGAGGGAGAGGCGGGAGGACAGGCCCTCCTGGAATACAAGGCTCTGCTTCCCTGACCAGACCTCCCACTGCTGCTTCGGGAGGGAGGGTGTGCTGGATATATTCTCTTCTGCCAACTGCCCCTAGCAGTGCCCACTCCTCTGCCCGAGACCTTGGCTACTGGATAGCTGACATAGCAGCTTGGGTGCTGAGAAGTAAAGGGCAGGCCATGGAAGGCTATAGAACAAAGCCTGGCCCTCTTTCCTGACTGGTGTCAGCTGTCTATGTTGGGGCACTGTGGTGCCTTGGAGTGTGGCCAGAGGAGTCAGAGGGGCATAAGCCATCAGGATCTGGTCTACTCCGGGCAGACGTACCCACTCTGACCCTGCCCTTTGCAGCTCCTGGCTAGATGGAGACTACCTCAAAGCTTCTGGGGAAGGAACAGTGAGAGCTGAGATTCTGCTTCTCTCCCTAGGTTCAAAGCCTGAAAAGGTGGGTGTGCTGTCTTGGGTGTCTCTGTAGTGCTGGCACACTCATGACAGGTACCTGGGTACACGCTGTATGATGGAGGAACCTTCCCAGCTCTGTCTACAGCCTCGTGCTTATCACAAATGTCCATGGAAGAGTCTGTGGCACCAGGGGCAGGGATTTAGAATAAGATGACAGGGATTGTGGTTAAGTCTGGACAAATCTGCCTACTCCAGCAAACCAGCTTCCCAGGGTCAGAAAATGGGGATTCAGTGGATGCCTCTAGAATCCCACACTTTGGACAGAGCCCAAATCTAGTCCTCTGACTCCTCAGTGGGATGTGAGGATGGGAGCGGATGCCAGAATCCCAGCTAAGGTCCTACTGCCATGTCCTATTAGGACAAGGGGGCTCTCAGGGCAGATCTAGGCTGAAGATTAGCGCCATGACTTCTGGGCTCAAGTCTGTAGGCTAGGAAGAAGTGCCCACTGGGAGGCGTGCTCCAGGTACTCCCCCCGCCTAGGCAGCACTCAGGATCATGAGAGTGTAAACAGATGCATGCACACGCACACAGCACACCACTCCTTCCTCTGCACACACGCACACACACGCTTGCTCTCTCTTGGTCAGCAATCGGCTTCTCTGTAGGTTGCACTCTGTGGCTGTGGTGGCTGCTTGGGCACCCAGGCTTTGCTCACGGAGCTAGGACTCTGCAGCTGGAAGAGAAAAACAAGTGCAAAGGAGCATTCAGGAGGATGTTCAGTTGCCCGGAGACATGAGCACCTCTGCTGCTTCTCTGGGGACACTCAGAATGGGAGCTGGGGAGGCTCATCCTGTACTGCCCAGACCACAGTTCTTGAGAACAGGTAGTTGCATCTATGTAGTGTGAGCACAAGATGAGCACCCTGCGGACAAATCACCAGGGCCAAGTTCAGCAGAGAGGACAATGCTATGTAACAATCACTTAAAGCCTTGGGTGACACTTGCTCACATATGATGGGAGCACATCAGCTGCTTCTGGAGATGGGAGAATCAACAGAAGCTAGACATGACTGAGTCTAGATTTAGCAGGTGAGCAATTATCCTTCCCTCCCTGCCTCCCTCCCTTCCTCCCTGCCTTCCTTCTTTCCTTTGTTTATGGAGCTTGAACTCAGGGCCTGGCTGCTGTCCCTGAGCCTCTCTGTGTTCAAGGCTAGCGCTTTACCACTTGAGCCACAGCTCCACTTCCAGTTTTATTGGCTAATTGGACATAAGAGTCTCATGGGGACTTTTCTCCCTGGTCTGGCTTTGAACCATGATCCTCAGATCTTAGCCTCGAATAGCTAGGATTGCAGGTTTGAACCACTGGTGCCCAGTGGTAAGCAAATTTCTATGTACAGATAAAAAAAAAAACCCTATTACAGAGCTAGAAGATTGGGGGAGGGGACAGAAAGGTGAGCAGACACCAGCATGACTCATTTTAAATGTGTATTAAGATCCTGAATCCGGGGCAAGAGAATAAACGGCCTCATCGGTGAGAATAGGTTTTGAGACTGGCTTGCCTGTGTAAGGAGGTTTCTTATGCCTGAGCCTGCAGAGACTCTAAGTCTCTACAGCCAGAATGCTGGCAAGGTGGGGCATGCAACACTCACAGACTCACTTGGCCTGCTGTGGGTCGGTGTTCCACAATGGTGCTCAGGCTGACTCATGTCCCCATTCATATATGTAAGACTTAGCCCCAGTATTTTAGAATATGAAAATATGAGGGTGAGGGGCTGGGAAGGTGGCTCAGTGGTAGAGCGCTTGCCTTGCATGCATGAGGCCCTGGGTTCGATTCCTAAGCACCACATAAGCAAAAAGAAAAAAGCTGGAAGTGGCTCTGTGGCTCAAGTGGTAGAGCGCTAGCCTTGAGCTGAAGAGCTGTGGGACAGTGCCCAGGCCCAGAGTTCAGGCCCCACTACTGGACCCCCCCCCAAAAAAAAAGAAAAAGAAAAAGAAAATATTGGGGTAACCCCTAAACCAGAACAAAGAGGAGATATAGACCCAGACTATGTAAAGACACAGGGAGAAGGCATCTATCTACAAGCCAAATGGAGACCCCATGAGCTGTACAGTTGTGTCTGTGGAAGCTGCCAGTCTGAGGTACTTTGTTAAGGCAGCTGTTACAAACCAACACAGTTTGCAGTCCATTAACCCTGAAGATATGGCCCCATTTTCAGCAAGACAAACACACTCACTTATAAGTGGCAGAGCCAAGACAGGGATCCCAGGTCTTTCTAATTCCAAAACCTGTGTTGCTATGGCTTCTGTAAATTAGTAAGAATCTTTATATGCAGCATTCCTCACTAAGACTTTTAGAGAATGTAGAAAGAAGAAACAACACAGTGGCATAAAAACTAATATCTAAGCAACATAAATGGACGTTAAAATGTTACAACAAAAGGACAAATGCTCTTAGAAGTCTCGCAAGCATGACATCAGGCACCAGTGGCTCACGCCTATAATCCTAGCTACTCAGGAGGCTGAGATCTGAGGATCTTGGTTCAAAGCTAGCCTGGGCAGGAAAGTCTGTGAGACTCTTATTGTCAACTAGCCACCGGAAAGCCAGAAGTGGTGCTGTGACTCAAAAGTTGTAGAGTGTTAGCCTTGAGTAAGAAAGCTCAGGGATAGTTCCCAGGCCCTGAGTTCAAGCCCCAGGACTTGGGTGTGTGCATGTGCTCACACATACACAGAGGCATGGGAACCATGTCTCCTACATCAGTCTTCCAGCACATGCTAAATCTGAAGCAGACTGTATGTGGATGATAATTTTCTTAGGGGCTGGGTGAGATGGACAGCCAAAGTGAGAGTGAGAACCTAAATGGGTCAGTTCTGAAGGCCTCGTTCCTACTTTCAACCATTTCCCCCTTTTAGCAAGTCCTGTAATAGCCATATTTTCACTACAAATAAACACACTTGTTAGTGTGCTGAAGCACACAGACAGTGAGTATGTGTTCTACAGAGAGCTGGCCCTGTGAAACCACAGGCAAGTACTCTCTGAGAGAGAATCAGTAATTTCCTATTGGAGCATATGCCACTATGGGTCCTCCAGCTCTAGTTGTCTCCATCTTCAGAACTTAGAAGAGACAAAAGCTGCTTGTAGATTATTCCCTAGAACAAGAGCTTGTTCGCAAATCTTCAGAAGTGTTAAGGACAGGCAGAAAGAACAGTTTGTGAAGACTCTACAGTTATTGGCATGGAGATATGGGCATGGAACACACACACACACGCACGCACGCACGCACGCACGCACGCACACACACACACACACACACACACACACACCTCTATACATATATATTCCCTGGCACTCCAATTTAGGGTGGATGTCCCTTAGCTTTTGTTCTTTTTTTTTTTTTTTTTTGTCGGTCGTGGGGCCTGAACTCTGGCCTGGGCGCTGTCCCTCAGCTCTTCAGCTCAAGGCTAGCGCTCTACCACTTGAGCCACAGCGCCACTTTCTGGCTTTTTTCTTTTTGCTTATGTGGTACTGAGGAATCGAACCCAGGGCCTAAGGCACACAAGGCGAGTGCTCTACCACTAAGCCACCTTCCCAGCCCCTCAAGGCTGGTGTTCTACCACTTGAGCCAAACCTCCACTTTCAGCTTTCTGCTGGCTAATTAGAGGTAAGAAACTTTCCTGCCTGGGCTGGCTTCCTGTGTAGCTAGGATTATAGGTGTAAGCCACTGGCCCCTGGCTTATGAGTACATACAAATTGTAATAGTATATTACGGGGTGCCATGTATTCATGTATATGTGGCATATGTATACGCTGTATGTTGCTTATCCCTTCTTCTAGGTTTTTGAAATACACAGTACATAAGTGTCTACAGGACAATCAGAACCTTTTATCTCTATCTACTTACAACTTAGTCCTGTTGGTCAATTGCTCCCTGTCCACCCACACCCTCCAATTCTTCCCAGCTTCTCTGATCAACCTTTTCTTAACATTCCCCATGTGAGTGAGATCACGGGGCATTTTGTCTTTCTAGGCCTGGCTTATTTTACTTAACAGGATGCTTTCCAGTTCCATCCCTGTGGTTGCAAATTGTAAGACTGCATTCTCTTGGACATGTGCATGTTCTGGGGGAGAGGCTCCCCCTTCCATTGGCCTCTCCAAAGTCAGGGAACCCACAAAGGGTTTGGGACCAATGTCTCAACGGCGAGGTGGGCGCTAAGGAGCAGCCAGGTGGATGCTCTGTTACCTTGGGCAGGCTCTGGACTGCAAGTGCTGTGGGCTGACCTCAGACAAGCCCTAGTCACTCACGTCTCACTCACTGCTCAAAGCCACTATCAGAGAGCACAGAGGTTTAGAAGAAAGCAAGTCAACGGTGTTTCTCTTTTCAAGCTAGGGCAGGTGTCTGCAGAAAAAGGGGTGAGGGAAATCAAATGAGCCTTGCAGGACAGTGATGAAGTAGCACTACAGGCAAAGGAAGGCAGCCAGGGGTATGACATGGAGGGGAAATCAACTCATAAAACGGGCACTGGAAAGCCAGCCTCTTGGTGGTCTTCTATCTCCACCTGTCATGAAAAGCGGCAGCTAAAATGACAAGGAAGCTAATGACTGCCTACCTCTGCCCCCCGTGTTAGGACAGTCTCTTCGTACCTTTGCCCTCACAGCCTTTCCTATTCCTCAGATGCTACCAGGAGGCAACAACTGGCCATGCCCTTCTCAGGCCCCCAGCCTGAGGGGTGTGTGCTAGCATGCACACATGACCTTGTGCAAATAGGATCTATAAAGTGGGAGTCATGGGAGGACTGCAAGAGGCTCTGAAGGCTGTATCCGGCCCTCAGGGCTTCCCCTCCCATACCATGTAAGAGTATGAGAAAGGCAGTGGGCCAGCGATTGGCTTCCAAACCAGGACCCAGTTAGTCCAGAGTTGCACGGAGCTCCTTGGAGCACAAGCTGTTGTTCTCAACTTAGTCTTATGCTTCCAACCACACCCTTCCTTTCCTGCACCAAAGAGTCCAGGAGAGCAACTCTGTATTCAGTGCTGGTGGACACTGAGTTCTTCCTTCTCACGTCTAGGTCAGGAATGGAGATGGAGAGACGGGACCACTTAGGGGGGTAAGGGGAGAGGCCTCACAGCCACAGTAGCAGGAATTGGGTGCAGACTTGGGCCTGAGTGTAGAGCACAGAGGCTGGGATCTTTTCTGAATTTAATAGACTGTCGGGGCCTGTCACATGCCAGGAGGACAACTAAACAAGTGTCAAAGTGGCAGTGAAGAGATCCCACACGTGAGGTCTGGGCAGGCCGGGGAGGAGAAAGGGGCTCCTCGGCCATGAACTTTCTACACTCAGCGGGACTTCTCTCCATGGGTTACCATGTACCTGCAGAAGGACAAATGGATCATGTGGGCTGTCCTTCCATGCTAAAATAATTGGACCAATGAGGGCCATCTGTGCACAATTCAAGGCCAGTGGAATCCTGAACAGTCAGCAGCTCTGGGGATTATGGAGAAGCAGCTGACAGGAGAGCTCTTTGGAAGCTGGTTTGTTTTCAGTTTAGCAAACATTAAAAAACCAAACTAGATGCAGAACATTCGCTGGTGTGGACTGGAGGTGAGCATTAAATCTAGACACCCAATGTGTTTTTGTACAGTACCAGTTTCAACTGTAAATGACTGTTTATCCTATATCGTGTCACAAGCCAGAAGAGTTGGACTTCCAGAACCACAAAGCCATAGAGCTCAGAGCTAAGAGACCTCAAAGCCCAGGATGGAATGTTCAAGTTGGAAAAGAATGGTCATTCACCCCTCATGCCTACAGCCTCTCAAAGTCACATGACTAAACAGGGCAGGAGAGAGGTCACCTCCTGTCAGTATAAAGCTCCATCAACTTCTGCCTCAGAGCAGTGCTGTGGCCCAGCACTGACTGAACATACAACACAGAAGCACGCACAAGATGACACTGGTTTCACCTGAATGCGGCACTTTACTATTTGTGACAATGCTAGGGCTTGAACTCAGAACCTTGAGCTCTCACTTGGGTTTTTTGCTCAAACTCAGTTCTCTACCAGCTGGGATTTTTTTTTTTCTAGTTAATTGCAGATAAAAGTCTCTTGGACTTTTTCTGTCCAGGACAGCTGTGATCAAGGATCTCAGATCTCAGCCTCCTATTAGATGGGAGCCACCCGCACCCAACTTGTGTCATGTTTAGTTTTCTACTCCTTGTTCCTCACACTTCTGTTGACAACAATTTCATGCTGAACTGGATACCATTAGCTACTAAGCAATCTTTACTCATACAACTAACATCCCTGTTCTTCTTTTTTTCTTTTTCTTTTTTTTTCCAGTTCTGGGGCTTGAATTTGGCCTGGGCACTGTCCCTGAGCTGCTTTTGCTCAAGGCTAGCACTCTACCACTTAAGCCACAGAGGCCTTTCCGGCTTTTTCTGATTACATGGTAATGAGGAATCAAACCCAGGGCTTCATGCATGCTAGGCAAGCATTCCACCACTAAGCCACATTCTCTGTTCTTTGATCTTACTTGAAATCAGAGCACTGGCTGGCAAGTTTCAGAATTATATTGAAGGCATTCTGCTTGGTATCATAGAGCTGAGCGATAGATAGCTGAGGGAATAGTTATCTACAGTTGTGTATAGTACCAACTCCCAGGGATAAGATAGTACAAGCTGTCCACTGGCAGTCCACGTCAGAAAGCCTGGTCAAGGCAGTGGGTCTTGCTGAGCAAACAACCCTAGATACTCAAAAGGATGGCCCTGACGAAGGAAACTTCCATAGAAAAAAAAGCCCCTCCTATCTACTGACGCAGACAGGTGTGTCAGGAGCAGCCTGACACAACGACTCAGATAGGACAGCAGTCTACATTTTCCTGAAGAGAGGAGTAATAAAAAGCCTTTCCTGTGTCAGTGAAGGAAAAAACAGGGTAGGTTCGTTTTATTTTTCCTTTTTTGTTTTTTATGACATTCAGGAGGCTTCCAGAAAAGATGTAAAGATGATCTCTGTCTTGGAAGTGCAGAGCTGCAGCCCTGGTGTGGGAAAAGGTGTAATGGAGGAGTGGATAGAAAAGCTACAGCTGATGGGAGGTTGGGCCTCTGGTCCTCAGTGGCTGAGCCAGCACTGCACAGCCCGCTTCCACATCCAGAAGCTCAGTGCTGCCCTCTAGTGGCTACCTACATAACACAGTCTGCAGGGGAATGCTGACTGGAGCTTATACTGCCACCTAACTTCTTCCTGTTGGATTTGACCACCCGTTAAGGAAGAAAGTACTAAAACCCAAAACAACCAAAACATTCCTTTTTCTTCTCTTTGGTAGGCCAACATGTCAAATGGCTTTGGTTTTTAAATTTCCTTTTAAGTTTTGGAAGGTATTTCAATCAGGATGATAGAGTTTTCTTTTTTGGTGGTGCCCAGGACCTGGGTGCTGTCCCTGAGCTTTTTTTGCTCAAGGCTAGTGCTCCACTACTCTGAGCCACAGCTCTACTTCCAGAGGCTTGAACTCTGGGCCTGGATGCTGTCCCTTAGCTCTTCAGCTCAAGCTAATGCTCTACCACTTAGCCACAGTGCCACTTCCAGTTTTCTGAGTGGTTTATTAGAGTCTCACAGACTTTCATGCCTGGGCTGGCTTTGAACTAGGATCCTCAAGTCTCAGCCTCCTGAGTAGTTAGGCATGAGCCACTGGTGCCTCATGCCTTTTTTAAAATTTGTTTTTATTTTGAGACAGAATGTTGCTTAAGGATGGCCTTAAATGTGCAAGCTTACCTCTGCTTCCCTAGTAGTTGGAATTATAGGCATGCACCCCTATGCCTGGCAGAAGCATGGGATTTCTGAGCTGAAACCCTAAGCACCAGGTTCTAATCTAGGTTGCTATTTTAGCCTCCTGCAGACCACGCCCCAGCTTTCTCCCACCTTCCTTCCTGAGGAGGACTCTAAGCTGCTGCCACTCACGCTCAGGAGTCCTTGCTTGGCAGCTCTGGGGCAGGCAACTCCGCCACCCTGGCCCGTTTGCTGAGTTCCTCACCAGGCGGCTCCTCAGCTGCTTCCAGCTTGCGTTTGGGGGAGGCTGGACTGCTGGGAAGTGGTCTGGGGCCTGTGAGGAGGCATGACGAAGGGTCACAGATGGGACAGACAGGCACAGGACCCCACAGTATGCAGTGACAGTTCTTTGGGGACAGAGAGTCTCGGGCGGGCTGCTCCTCAAATCTGCCCCAACTGTCCTTTCAACACTAACTGCTGGAAACCATTTTCACCCAAGGCCCTTGTCATCTGAAATGAGCTTATTTGGTTCCCTTAGTATCTTTTGGCTCCTGGGGGAAACAGAAGCTTCACTCTGCTTGTACTCCTTTTGGCCTCAGCCCTGAATGACTCCAGAGGTGGCACAGGCCACAGAAGGTCACAGGAGGCCAAGGAGACTGTGGGCCAGAGGCTGCTACTCTACTCACCAGTGCTGCTGATGCTCCCAGCCTGGCTTGAGCTAGGCTCGGCCACTGGGTGGCTGAGGTCTTCCACACACGAAGGGACAGATGCCAGCAGACCTAGGGGAGATGGGTGCAGTCAGACTACAGCCCTGAGAACTAGAGGGTTGCAAGGCATGAGAAACAAGAGGATAGGCTGTATCTTCTACTCCCCACAACTCCCCAGGGAGGCCAAATCTAGCCCAGCTTCATGGCCAGTGTCCCAGGAAGTCAACTTTTCAGCCTGGAAGACCACACTCATTCTCCCTTTACAAACACCTCGAAAGTCCCATCTATCCCTCTGCTCTGCAGGTCTCCTTACAGAGTCCCCGGTATCGTGAGAGCTGCTGATAGATCTGCTTCATTCGCTCGATGTTGAGCCGGCTGGTTTCAGCATGGTTGACGATGGGCCGTGGGTAGTCCACACCAATGATGCACTTGGCTGCCTTCTGAATCGACTCTGGGGCATTCCAGGGCTCATAGATGTATCGAGAGGGGAAGCCTTTCAATCTAGGCAGATAGCGCCTGAAACATACACGTCCAGATACTGGTCAGCACACCTTAACCCTCTTCCAAAGGCCTAGGGCATCATCCCAGCCTAGGAGGAGGTCACAGAGGTCAGCAGCCAGAGAGCTTGGCCTGCATCCTCACCTGATGTAGTCCCCACTGGGGTCCGTACGGCGGCCGAAGCCCACAGGGCAGTAGCAGTGGAAGAACTGTTGGAAGAAAGCACTGCAGGACAGCCACATCCAGCTGCCGGCGTTCACGCTGAAGTCCGCGTCCAGCAGTAGCTCATCAAATACCTGGGGGGGGGGGGGAAGGGGAGGGAGATGGGGAACAACCAGCCTCCTTAAGAATCTGCTGCCATGGTTCTTCCCAAGTTACTGCAGCACCCCAAGGAGCCAAATCCCTGTGCAGAGGGCCAGCCACCAAGGATGCGGAGATCTCCTGGGCCCAGGGGTCCCACCCCTTCCTCCAGCCCAAAAGGTGGTTGCCCTTGGCTGGACCTGATCATAGGGTATAGGCGAGCTTCTGCTCTGAGAGCACTCACCCGAACCCCGCTCTCCCAGCTGACCCAAAGGTCCCCGCGGGTGAGGAAGCAAGCCACAGCGTGCCTGGCCAGGTGGTGGATCCAGCCCTCCTGCCTCAGTTGGGTCATGATGGCGTCAATCCAAGGGAAGCCTGTTTTACCCTCGGCCCACTTGGCCAGGGCCTCAGGGTTGCGGTCCCAGGGGATCTGGATGCAGATGGGGTTCCCCTCCATGCGGTCAAATCTGGGGTTGTTAGTGGCTGCCGTGTAGAAGAACTCTCGCCACAGAAGTTGCCCGAACAGGGACAGGGGAGGTGTGCTGTTCCGCTTCACCTGAGGGGGAGCGCAATACAGCTCTTAACACTGTGCCACCCAGGTCTCTCCCACAAAAAAAAAAGAAAGAAAGAAAGAAAGAAATCTGGAGAACCCCAAACAAGGGATGCCAAATGCTCTAGCTATACAGAACTACCCTAAAAAGTGACATGGTGTGTCTATAAGACAATGCCCTGGCCCTGTCTGTTGGGCTATTGCTCTCTGCAACATGAGTGATTACAGCCAGCCGTGGGAAGGGACACTGCTGCAGGACACTGCCATAGGAATCCAACTCCCCAAGAACGGCAATGACCCTTGACCTCAACATTCCTCAGTCAGGTATACTTTCTAGAAAGTCAAAGGGAGTTTACACATCACCATGCATAAAATATAATCTAGATTTTAGCTAAATGAATTATATACAGTCTGGACCTGGGGCTTCAATGCAACTCAGGATTACCTACAATTACAAGACTACCCACCAAACTGGTAGTGCTATCCATGCCACCAAATCCTGATACTAACAAAGATGGAAAAATATTAAAAATGTAGATGCAAGCATGCATTGGTGGCTCACAGCTGTAATTCTAGCTACCCAGGAGGCTGAGATCTAAGGATGAAAGTTCAAAGCCAGCCTGGAAAGAAAAGTCTGTGAGACTTATATCTCCAATTAGCTAGCAAAAAGCCAAAAGCAGAGGTGTGGTTCCAGTGGTAGAGTGCCAGCTATAAGCAAAAAAAAGCCCAGAGAGAGCATGAGGCCTGAGTTCAAGCCCCAGTATGTGCACATGCACACACACACACACACACACACACACACACACACACACACACACACACACACACACACACAATGCAGACAAAAACAATCATCTGAAAGCTGGGTGCTGGTGGCTCACACCTGTAATTCTAGCTACTCAGGAGGCTGAGATTTGAGTATCACAATTCAAAGCCAGCCCAGACAGGAAAGTCTGTGAGACTCTTAGCACTAATTAACCACCAGAAAACCCAGAAGTGAAGCTGTGGCTCAAAGTGGTAGAGTATTAGCCCTGAGAAAAAGAGCTCAGGGATAGCACCCAGGCCCTGAGTTGAAGCCCCAGGAAACAACAACAACAACAACAACAACAATCATCTGAGAAATACCAAGGCTGACCTTCTGTCCTCTCTTCTGGGAATCGCATGGCCCAGCCCAGCATGCAGCCTTTCCAGACCAACTTTCTTATTGATGAACAACTTCACTCATGGGGTCCCCTTTCAGTACCCTGAGGGCTGTGTTTCTCCATCCCCTTCTGGGTTTGTTTAGATCAGTGACTCTGTGTGTGTCTGGCTTTGCCACTTCTTGAAAATTAACTCTGGACCAAGTACCTATAGGACTCGCAACCCAAGATTCTTTCAGGACAACTGGCAGGCCCAATAGGATGGAGTGAATGAGGCTGCAAGTGAATGTGGTTGAGTCATCCTTGTACACCTCACCTTTTTATACAGGTCCCACAGGCGGTAGTAGAAGAGGCGGCAGGAGAGGCAGCCGAAGCGCAGATAAGGGCTCAGGCCTGTGGGGCTGGCCAGCAGGGAATTGGCATTCATCCGGGGTCTCTCATAGTTGGCAACCCAGGCCTGCAATGGGGAAGCAAGGTGGCAAAACAAAAAGCCTAGATGTTACAGATGGGGAAAAAACAAACAAACAAGGTCCTGGAAGCTTGAGGGTTTTCCTGAAGTCAAAGAACAGAAAGGCATAGAGCTCACTGGCTCTTTATGGTAGCAAAGGTGGACATGGAACCACTACCAGGGCAAACAAGAGGCCATGCTCTTGGCCTGACTTTGCCAGGGAAATGGGCTTTGGCCCCTCAGCCACTATCTATTAAATAAGAACAGAATTTCCCATCCCTTGAGACTTAAATGAGAAAATTCTGTTAGCATAGAACAAACTCTGTAATTATATAGAAGAAAAAAATAATATTCCTAGCTCAGCTCTTGTCACCAGGGGGTGGAGGTGATGACATAGACATCCCAAACTCTGCGCCTTTATTCAACAGCAGCCAGGGAAGGCAGGAACTCACAACCCATTTCTGGGGACCAACAGAGAGACAGTCACTTCTGGGGCCGCTTGCCATAGAATATGATTGGGCATGTGTTTATTAACAGCCACTGGCATAGTGCTTTACTTTCCTGACTTGTCCTTGCCGCATGCTCTTATTCCACCTCCACTGTTCTCTGAGCAGCAGCCATTCTGAATACAAGAAGGCAGGCTCCAAAGGCTCCCATGCCCTCTTGAGGTTCCAGAGAAGGGAGGGGATTCTAAGAAACAGGGCTGCAGAACTTGGCTTCTGACTCCAAGTTCAGTCTCCTACATTTATGGCTAATAACTACTTTCTCTTCCTCCCCTTCTCCACACTCTCCAGAGACCTCCACCCACCCCACCAGCCTTTAGATCACTGACCTTTCTTCCTTCCTTATAGTAAGGAAACTAAGTGGGAAATACCTCAACTGTAGGCCAGAAAATCTACAAGTTCTCCTGACTCCCCAGGACGATCCCCAGGGCCAAGGCCTCCACTTGGCTTTGAGCCCTCCTCTCTTCCTTTCTTGCATAATCGTCCTAACAGTTTCCACTCCAAGAACATAAAAAATGATCTCATGTCTCCTTTCGGCAAACTAAACCAAATGAAACCAACCACCAAAACAAAAGGACTTGTGGTATGCTGTGGGACTCCATACATGGCCCTGGTCTCTTACTTCACAGCCAACTAGTCTCCATTTCCCCGCCCTACCTCTGCTTTCCAGCATACCTGGCTGGCTCCAGCCTTTACCATTCAACCTCACTGGTGCCCACTGGCCTCCAGTGACTTCCATGTCACTGAATCCTGCAGGCATTCACTGCCCTCGTATTTGTGGAGCTCTCAGTAGCCCTGGATCCTGCTCTTACTGAACCACCTCATTCCTCTATTCTTTGGGCCTCAGTGACTCCCATGACCCTCCAGAGACACTCTCTTGGGTGCCTCTCACCTGGCTAGCTGCTGGCTATGCCTACCACAGGCTCTACTTCCTCTGCCCACCCCTTCAATGTTGGAGCCCTGGGCTCTTCCCTAGATCCTCTGGTCCCATAGCTCCCAAAACCATCTCTTGGCAGACAATCACCATGTCTGCAGGTCTAGTCCTGATGGTCCATCCAGCCTTGCATAAACACTCTTTTCTTTAACTCACACTTCTGTTGGCTTCCCTTATTCAGAAAAAGCACCTTCTACTGACCAAATGTTATGCAAATATATCCTTTTATTCTCATTCTCTACTGCAACCAATCTGGTTTAACTAAGATCATATCTATACTGGACAACAGTGACAGCTTTGGACTGCTCCCCATCTGCGTTATCTGAGCTCCCTCTAGTCTACCCTCCACACTGGGGCCAGAGTGCTCATACTACTCTTGGGACTGAGTCCCAAATCTTTTTTCCTTTTGTACCAGTACTGGTGCTTGAATTCAGGGCCTTCCACTTTCACTTAGCTTTTTCATTCAAGGCAAGCCACACCTCCATTTCTGGCTTCTTGTTGGTTGATTGGAGATGAGCCTCAGGGACTTTCCTTTCTGTGCTGGCTTTGAACCTTGATCCTCAGATCTCAGCAATCTGAGTAGCTAGCATCACAGGCTTGATCCACCAGTGCTCAGCTAATTTTTTTACTTTTGCAAAGCATGCTGGGAAGACAATTTTATTCTTCTAGTTTTTTGCCTTTTTTTTTTGCCAGTCCTGGGGCTTGAACTCAGGGTCTGGGCACTGTCCCTGAGCTTCATTTGCTCAAGGCTAGTACTCTACACTTGAGCCACAGTGCCACTTCAGGCTTTTTCTTTTATGTGGTACTGAGAAATCAAACCCAGGATTTCATGCATGCTAGGCAAACACTCTACCACTAAGCCACATTCCTAGTCGCTTTGTGTTTTTTCAGGTAGCTGCCTTGCCCACACAGATGTACACCCTGAACACTAGTTTAGCCTTGGCCATTTAAAAAACTTTCATATACTATTTAAGGTCTTGCCATCTACATACTTCCTGCCATTTTTCTGTGGAAGAACCCAGTCTACTGGACTTATCAAGATTCCCAGACTGGATTTTGCTGACTGCAGTTTAATGCGTCCTCCATCTGTGTATTGCCTCCAATACACCTTGGTTGGGTAGTACCAGGGACTGGACTGGGCTTGCGTTTGGCCTTTTGGGAAGTTTAAAGGGAATACAATACTTGTTTGTGTCTATTTATGGTGTTACTGGCATTACTGGGGGGGCTTCTCTTTTTTCAGGGTGCTCACTTACTACTGAACAGCCTCAAGGTAAAGATCATAGTTTGCCTTCACCATTTTGTGTGTGAGTGCAGGTCCTAGCTTGAACTCAGGCCTAGGTGCTGTCCTTGGGGGGTTTTTCTTGCTCAAGATTAGCTCTTTGCCACTTGAGCCACAGGTTCACTTCTGGCGTTTTTTATGCTTAATTAGACATAAGCATCTTGCAGACTTTCCTGCTCAGGCTGGCTTTGAACCATGATCCTCAGATCTCAATCTTCCAAGTAGCTAGGATTACAGGTGTGAGCCACCAGTGCCCCCAAGCCTCCCTCCCCATTTCTCGCCCCCCTCCCCCCCCCCCACTTTCTTTTTAGTAACAGAATCTAATTTTCTTGTAGAAAACTGCCTTCCTTAAATTAGTGATTATCCACTAGGAACATAATGATTGAGTCAGAGGTCACATGATCCAAGCCAAGCCAACTAAAATTTACCTCAGGACTTTCCCTGAAGCTTTTGGAAAAGGGGCAATCCTTGTTGGAAAACAAACAATGGTGACCACCTTTGCTTCTGCTCAAGGAAAGCTTATCGAGAATGAGCTAACACAGAGGAAAGCAAAGCCAAGCATTCTTCGGACTTGAATCCTGCTATGCCTGAAAGCAATGTGTTAACTCCTGATTATGTGCATTAAAAACCTTCCTTTTTAAAAAGTCAACTGCAAAAAGGATACTTATGCTTTTTGACACCATAACCTTATGAACATCTGATATCCCCTGTTTAATGTGTATCAATTCTCCAGCAGATTGTGCTCCTAGAAACTTCTCTATGCCTGCCTTGTTTAGCAATGTATCTAATACCTAGAATATCCTGGCACAGGTAGCTGCTCACTTCAGACTTCAAGATCTACAAAGGTAAAACATAAACCTTCAACTCCTATCCACAAGGCACCCTTTGTTCTCCTAGGTGTATAGGTCATAGTATTTTCTCTGGCCACCACTGGGTCTTGATAGGTCCATGACAGAAGGATCCTTCCACTAATATGTGAAAAAGAGACTCCTGACTTGTGACAGAGGATAATACTCTAAAAAATGTTTGTTTGTTTTTTTTTGGGGGGGGGTCCGGTTGTGGGGCCTGAACTCTGGGCCTGGGCACTGTCTCACAGCTCTTCAGCTCAAGGCTAGCGCTCTACCACTTGAGCCACAGTGCCACTTCTGGCTTTTTTCTTTTTGCTTATGTGGTGCTGGGGAATCAAACCCAGGGCCTCATGCATGCAAGGCAATTGCTCTACCACTGAGCCACCTTCCCAGCCCAGGTTATTAAAGTTTTGTTTGTAAAAAAAAAAAAAAAAAAGTTTTGTTTGTTTCTGTCTCAGGGGACTGAACCTAGGATCTTGACCATGCTAGGCATGCATGTGGCTCAGCTACATCTCCAGACAGAGAAAGCTGGTCCCCTTTATAGCCTCTGGATGTTGAACCTCAACTCTTGGCCTCAGCTGATTGAAACCTCCAGATGGGAACATTGAGGCTGCTGGGTTCAGGGAGGCTGAGACCATTAGCACAGCTGTCAGTTCTGGCTAGGTATCTTCAAGGCTGGGAAAACATTTTTCACAAGCAGGCCTGCCTTGACCTCCTTGTTCCTGTGTAATCGTCTGGCTGCTGAGCAAAATGTCTTACCATATGAGCAGGAATAGAAAACGCTGTGCCTCTAAGGGCTCAGTCTCCAAGCTGGATGGAGGGGCAGGGAAAAAGGGACTAGCAGGCAATTCTGTCTGGAGAAGCTACTCTGCTCCTCTAGTTGCAGGGTGATGAGGGCCTTGACACACTGCTGAGGAGTACTTCTGGGGCCTCAGGCTCCTTTTCTCTTGCCAACCCTCACTGCTCTGGGAGGTGAGCTATTTGCTCTCTGGGACCAAGCAAATGGAAATCAAAGCCTGGAAGGAGATCCAGCAAAAGATGGAAGACATCGACATAAAATGACTGATCATTTGCACTTTTCCAACCAGAAACCTTTTGGTAAAGGGGAGCTGACTCAGAACTGAAAAGAAAGATGGAGTAAACTCTGCAATCATACCGAACTATTTCTCACTGCTGCTTACCTCAGGCAAGATATTTAATTTCCCTAAGCCTCAATTTCATAATTGGAAATACTGCCTTGTAGGGATGCAGATAAGACTAAAGGAGAAAATGCTAGCAGGCCCTGATTCCAGGAACACCTCAAGGACCAGCTGGAGGTAAGGATTCTCAATGGTAACAGCCAGGCTATTTTTGTCATTGGGAGTTTTCACTTTTCACCAGCAGAGCTCTGGACACCAAGGGACACGGACCTGACACGAACCTGCTGCATGGGTGCAGTATCTGCAGTTCTGTGGCTTGGAAATGGGGCCATACCTTCCGTTCCAAGTGTTTATCCAAGCGGGCCAGAGCTTCTGTCTCTCCTCCTTGCCAGACAGCGGGGCCAAGTCCTTCCGTGGGGAACCCTGCAAGAGGAGTAGCAGGTCACAGAGCTAGAGGTCTCATCCTTGGAACTGAGAAGAACCTTCACTTCTAGGTCACCGTGGGTTTCTCCCTACCGTTGCTAGTTTTTTCCTCTCTCTCAACTTCCCCATCCCCCCGCCCCTCACCATTCTAGGCCACTGTGAACCAGCCTGGTTCAGATTATCTGGCAGTGACTGATTTTCAGGTGGGAAAAGCTACTGGGTTCAGATCAAAAGATGGGAGGAGGGGGCAGGGAGAAGTAGAGGAAGGGTGGAGTCATCCTGGTATTGAGAAGCCTGTGGATACACCAGTACCAGACAGCCCCCTATTGTCTAAAAGGGGGACGTACACAAATAAGAGTATGAGCTAGAGATTATAGAGATATGAACTGCAAGACAGAAAGGACAGATAGCAAAATTATAGTGACTGTCTTGGGGATGAATGTTAGTAGTAACAGTGATATTAGTGCCACCTTTGCTGCTCTGGATTTCCTGGATTTTCTATGATAACAGACACCACTTTGACAAAGAAGTAAGATGTTTTCCACACTGGAAGCTGTGGCTTGTGGGGGATGCACGCACCCAGCTCCTCCAGGGAGGGCACGCCATAGGTGTCATCGTGATTTTCCTGGATCTCAGCCCTGCAGCTCTCCATCTGCTGGCTGGTCACCGAGCCCACTGGCTTCTTGGGCAGCTCCATGCGGCTGATGATGGCCTGAAAGCGCTTGTAGGTGAGGGGAGGCTTCTGCCCATTCAGCTCAATGATCCTGGGGGTTCAAAACACACTGGGATCACTCATGCTTTGGGTCCCAACCCACCCAAAACAAAGCCTAGACTGTGAAGCTTTGACAGTGCCTTCCTCCTCTGCTTTCATAGGTACTACCCCTGAAAGGAAAGGACAGGAAGGCTGTGTCTCCATTTTACCGAGAGGAAAAATGAAGCCCAAAGAGTTGGAGTAGGTGCCTCAGGTAATGGAGCAAGGCAGGGCCAAAGCCAGGACATCAGGTTCGCTGGTGTCCACGCACAGCCCGCCTAAAGACAGAGACCGACCATATCTCTGGCATCACAGAAACATCCCACTGGCCTTCTGGTACCTGACCTATTTGACCCCACATGGGACCTTGGATTAACTTCTTTAAGAGCTGAAAATGTTCCTTTCTTAGAAGATCATCTTCCTGTTATCCCTTGTTTAGAAGAAAGAGGTAGTGGCCAGTTGATGGTCCTAAGTCGCAGAATGGGGCTGGGGTCAATAGAACAACTAAGCCTCAGAAAGTTTTGCAGTATACAAAGTACTTTTCATGTATAGGGAATGTCACTGCACTCATACAAGAAGGGAAGTTTAAAGGTGAAGAAGAACCTAGTACTGGTGGCTCACTCCCATAATCCTAGGTACTCAGGAAGCTGAGATCTGAGAATTATGGTTAGAAGCCAGCTGGGGCAGGAAAGTTGGCAAGCCTCTTATCTCCAATTAACCACCAGAAAACCGGAAGTGGTGTGCTAGTCTGGAGGGAAAATGCTGAGGGACATGCCCAGGCCCTAAGTTCAAGCCCCATGACTGACCGCCCCCACCCCCACACCCCAAGAAAAAGGTGAAGAAGAGAATGTAGCTATTTATATAATGATAAATTGGAATGGCTGCGGCCAGATTCCTGGGGATCTTGTTGGCCAAGAAGCAGCTTATGCAAGGCCTGGCTGGCTGGGAAGTTCATTTCCTGGTTTGTTCTCTTTGCGCTCCCTCTATTAGCAGAGACAGAGGCTGGCGGCTGCCTCTGCAGTCCTTCTCCTCCTCTGGCACGTGGCAGGAGGAAAAGCTCCACACCAAGCCTCTCCTCCTAGGGCCCAGGCTCACGTGCACAGCTGTGTGACCTGGTCTCTTGGCAGCCAGCCCTGGGTTGGGAGAGCAGGGCAGGGAGGGGGGCAGTGATGGCTGCTGGCTTGGTAACAGCAGAAGAAAGGCAACAGCTCCAGTGGGAAAGGGGAGGAGAAGTCTGAAACTCTGAACTCTGAAAGCACAGAGGGAAAGGGGCTCTCCTCTGGGTCAACAGCTCTCTGGCAGGGGAGCCCCCCCGCCCCCCCCATCAGCATCAGAATGTAAAGCCTGGAAACCTAGATATCCAGGGAAGCCCCAGTTAGGAAACTGGGCCCATGAGAACATAGGTCTACTGGAAGATGGGGTCCACTGATGTCAGACAGAAGGCAGGGACAGGAGGAGCTATCCTCAATTCAGAAGTCAGAGAAAACAGACCAGAGTGGCTACAGGTTGACAAGGAAAGTATTGCTTTCTAAATCTTCATTCATAGGGCACCAAGGTCAGGAGCAAGGCAGAAGGGAGCAGGAGGCACTATGGGGCAGCAGCAGGTCTATGAAGATCCTGAGAGGATCCTAACAAGCTTCTTTGTCATCCAAATCAGGCAAGTGCTTTGTGACTTGTTCTTCAAGCCCCAACTCTTGACCACATATCTCCAGCTTCTAGAAAATGCCAGAGTTCATGAGCCAAGCAGCCTTATCTGCTCGACAGGGGCCCAAGTCAATAATCCTACAATGGGCAACTTGAGCCTATGTCCTGCAGCTTACCTGTCCAGGTCATAGAGGGTATGGGAGTTCTCAGTCACCACTTCCACACCAGCCTCCTTGGCCATCTTCATGATGGCTGCATCCCGTTCTTTCCCAAAGGGTTCCGAGTCATATTCAAAGGTCAAGCGGGTCACCCCCCATTCCTGTGGGGACAGAATTTGTTACACTCATGTTTGGGGAGGAAGGGGGGATATAGTGTACAGTCCCTTCCTGAGAGTGAACACAATGGCTACAGAACAATTTAGGAACAATAACCAGAACTGGAGAGCGAACATCATAGTATGAGGAGGGCAGCCAGTGAGGGGAGGCTGTAGTAGAGTCAGGGGGGAGGCCCTGTGTACTCACTACACCCCTGAGGTGGGAGAATACAGAGGGAAGCTATAAATACAACCCTCCCGGGGGAGCCCCAGGCCCAGAAAGAGCAGTGACTCATGGTGGATACAGCCCGAGACAGGATCACCACCTCCTGCCTGCTCTGCAAACCTCTCCCCGAGCTTCTCACAGCCTGCAAACTTGTGGCCTAGTTTTTCTGGCAGCTCAGTGCTATGTGAAGTGTCTTAATGGTTTCCACAGCAACACTCCTGAGGCCAGAAGCAAACAGAGCTAATAGGTCCCAGCTCTCAGAGCTGGGGGAGGAGTGCTCCTTAGTCCAGAGGCCGGAGAAAACAAAGCAACTGCAGGTAAAGAAGGGAAGTCTTTTCTAAGTCTTTAGTTACTTCTGGAACGAATTTCTCAGACTCCTAGCAACACCAGGAGAAAGCTGACCCAGTGAAAGGCTACAAGACAATCTACAGAAAGCCTTATAGTTTGTAACTAGAAGAAAAATATTCTGTGTGTGTGTTTTTTTTTTTTTTTTCCGGTTGTGGGCCTGAACTCGGCCTGGGCGCTGTCCCTCAGCTCTTCAGCTCAAGGTTAGCCCTCTACCACATGAGCCACAGCGCCACTTCCGGCTTTTTCTGCTTATGTGGTGCTGAAGAATCGAACCCAGGGCCTCATGCATGCAAGGCAAGCACTCTGCCACTGAGCCACCTTCCCAGCCCTAGAAGAAAAATATTCTAACCAGTCTGTGATTAGTCTTCCTTAAAGCTTGCAACCTAAAGGGCAAATGCCCTGGCCATGCACAGGCTGGTTTGGTCCTGACTCAGCCCTATTGGGTGGGAATGGGTCCTTAGGAGACTGAAAATCCATAGTTCAAGCGTAAATGTTTACTGTTTATTATTATTATTTTTTGTTGTTGTTGTTGTGGGGCCTGAACTCTGGGCCTGGGTGCTGTCCCTCAGCTCTTCAGCTCAAGGTTAGTGCTCTACCATTTGAGCCACAGTGCCACTTCTGGCTTTTTCTGCATATGTGGTGCTGAGGAATTGGACCCAGGGTCTTGTACATGCAAGGCAAGCACTCTACTACTGCCCCAGCCCTACTGTTTATTCTTTATAAGCCATGGTCTATGCTTAACAGTTCATACATGCTGCTAGTAAATATGCATATAACATATTAATAACACCCTAAGCTTCAGAATGATTCTACTATGCCTTGGTCCTGTATCTCCCTCACACTTATCCTATGGCAATGAAACTGCCCTTCACCTGCCTACTACATAGTAGGACCTCCATTAAGTAAATACCATTAAGTAAAAACCCTCCAGACTTGGGTTGGCTCTGAATTACTAGGAGAGATAGGAACAATGTGAAAGGATTAAAAAAAAAAAAAGCAAAAATCACAAAAACAAAAAACTCACTTTTTTAAACAAAAAACTCACTTTTTTGTGGCTGTGCTAGGGACCAAATCTAGGATTTCATGCATGTTAGGCAAGCACTCTACCACTGAGCTACATCTACAGCCTGGCAAATGCATTTGTATCATATGGTGGGTAAACACCCAGCTATGGGGTCAGCTTCCTGACCATGAATGTATTATTGTCCCCTCACCTATAAAAGTGGGAGAGATACCCATTCCATTGAGCTACTGAAAGGGGTGAGTTAATGTGTTTGGAACAATGCTTGACTCATAGTTGGCCCTCAATGAACATTAGTAACTATAATATTGAATGATCTGTATGTGCATGTAATTACATAGAGAGGGGAAAGTGAATGATGATATCTTTACAAGGCTATTTGCCTTCACGTCAGACTTTCCAGCCTGTCATGGAGCTGGAGCAAAGGGGGCATAAAAGCCATTGTGTGCTGCTGAGGATGGAGAATGCCCTAAAACCAACCCTCTGTGAATACTTCTGCCTCTACTTGGAACTTACAACGTCTTTTCTTTTTTGTAAGTCATAGGGCTTGAACTCAGGACTGAGCAATGTCCCTGAGTTCTTTCACTGAAAGCTAATGCTCTACTACTTTGAATCATACCTCCACTTCTGGTTTTCTGGTGGTTAATTGGAGACAAGAGTCACAGGCTTTCTTGCCTTGGCTGGCTTCAAACCACAATACTCAGCTCAGCCTCCTGAGTAGTTAGGATTACAAGCGTGAGCCACCAGCACCCAGCTTACAACATGCTTTTTTTTCTTTCTTTCTTTTTTTTTTTTTGGTCGGTTGTAGAACTTGAACTCTGGGCCTGTCCATGAGCTCTTCAGCTCAAGGCTAGCACTCTACCACTTGAGCCACAGTGCCACTTCTGGTTTTCTGGTAGTTAATTGGAGATAAAAGTCTCACTGACTTTGAACTGTGATCCTCAGATCTCAGCCTCCCAAGTAGCTTAGGATTACAGTGTAAACCACCAGCACCTGGCCCCAACATGCTTTTTAAAGAAGCCGGCCCCTGACTACTTCAAAAGCACTTCTGAACACACCAAGCATCAATTTCACCAAGGCAAAACATGATGGGAATATGGTACAAATAAAACTTTTATTTATTTATTTATTTTAAAAAAGCTGGCCCCCAATATTATAAACAGAAGCCTACCTGGCATCAAGTAAAGATTTTATCAGTCATTCCCTCAGACAGGCTGACTTTTTTCCCCCAAATAAGCAGAGCAAAGTGAAGTGGGAAACGCCCCTTGATAAACAGGAAACTCCACCCTCAAAGTCCTGGCTAGAAGGAGCCCTCATAAACTTTACTGGCTGGAGCCAAGCAAATATCTAAGGAGGGCTGAGGCAGTTAGCCTGGAATGACTTACCACATTGCCTGTCTGCACTGAGCTGGAGACTTTCCAACAAGACACTGGTTCACAAAAAATGTCTTTCCTTAACACAGTTTCCATTCTGTTGGCAAGCCGACTGGCTTGCTTTTGCCTCCCACTTCCTCAGCAGCCAGGAGCGGCCAGACCTGTGGCAACATTGCCATTTCCTTGCTCACCATAGCATCTCCCTCAGCCTGAGGGCAAGCCTAGGGAGTGGGTCTCCCTGTCTCCACTTTGCCCTGCAAACTCACCTTGAACAGCCTTGGGAACACATCAGCTGGCTGTCCCCGGACCACAAACAGGCGGGAGTTCAGTTTCCTTAGGCTTGTGTCCAGATCTTCCAGAGACTGCAGAAGGAACCTGCCGAGAGCACACAGGGTTTGTTAGTGATAAGGGAATAAAGAGGCACTGCTTCCTAGCAAAGCACGGACAAATGGCCCTGCTATTCATGGCAAACAAGTGGTGTGGTGAGCCTGGAGACTGGAGGCCTGGGTGCTGGCCCAGGAGGAATGGGTGTGGGCCAGCACTGCCTGGGTAGAAATCTTCCTAGTTGTGTGACATCAGGCAGAGACTTAACCTCTAAAGGCTTGTTTTCTCATCTGTAATATGGAATTAAAATCAGAGGCTATGGAAGTGCTAAAATGCCAGCACTCATACAATTGCTAAGGAAAGAAAAGCAGAGGTTTGGGAAAAACAAAACAAAACAAAAAACAAACAACCAAAGCACTCAGCACACAGCCTGGCACATAGAAGTCAGGAGTAAACATAAGCCATAGCCACAGTTGTGTTTCTAAGTGATCAGAGACAAGTCGGCATTCCCTCGAGCCTGGGGTGCTGTATGGAACTACTGGGCTGGCACCAGGTAGTTGTGAGAACTAGAGGATGAAAGCTGAGAACACCAGCTGTGGACTAGGCATGGAAGCTATGAGGAACACTACCAATCCCATCTCACAACCCACTGGTTTGTCTGCATTCATGGTTTGGGCTACACATCTGTTTAATGAGCCAGCCCCCCCACCCCCATCCCCCACCAGCCTAGTACCATCCCCAGGCTTTGATTGGAGATGGCTTCTTCTCCAGGTCTTCCCACTGCTGTGGCAGCCAGGTTCTAATCCAAACAGGGACAAGGGCCTTAGAAGATGCTTCTGGATAGATGATACCTAGTGTACAGGTGGGGGGAGGAGAGACTACAGATACTCAAAGCCCCTTCAAGAAAGCTGGGTCACCAGGAGAAAGACAGATAAAAAGTCTTACTTTGAAATTAAATAAACATTTTAACCTGATAACTAGTCATGGGGTTCAACACTCCAGTGACAAAACGGCGCACAGGAAAGTGTCCTCTCTTCTTTCCTTCTCAGAGGCAAACGAGGTTATCAATTTCACTATGCATCTGTCATGCTTGTGTGTGTGTGTGTGTGTGTGTGTTTGTGCGCACGTGCACGCTCATGCCAATCCAGGGGCTTGAATTCAGGGCTTGACTGCTGTCCCTATTTTGCTCATGGTTAGCGCTCCATCACGTTGAGCCACAGAGCTACTTTCAGTTTTACTGGTGGTCAATAGGAAGAGTGCCATGGACTTTCCTCAGATCTCAGCCTTCTGAGTAGCTAGTCTCACAGGAACTGAGCCACCAGTGCCCAGCTCTGTTATGCTTTTTAAGTGCATTTCCTCATTTAATTATCTCAATACATTTTGAAAGAAGGCATACTATCCCCATATCTTTATAGATGAGGAAACTGAGAAAAAAAAAAGTAATTTACTTAAAAGAGACAGAGCTGGCATAAGAACCTATGTGAGTCAGACTTTGAAACCCATATTTTTTTTCCCCTCTGTGTCCCATTTCTACAAACTTGAGTGGCATGTCAGCACTGCTCCAGGGCTGAGACTGCAGCTCTGACAGACACAGCTCATGGGGGTGACCCACCGCGTTTTCATTTTCCTCAGGATTCAAGCCTGTGCCTGCCACGATCTCCTCAAAGAGCCTGCTCCCACCCATGGCCTCTCCTCCTCATTCCCAGCACTTTCCTACTATCCAAAGTAGGAGGCACTACATTTTATTTTGGGCACAATGAGGTCCTCTGCCTCCTCTGAGGCATGCTGCATTCCTTGACTACAGGAAGCAGCGTGTGTTCCAAGCCGCCACCAGTGCCAACCCCCACGGCTGCCTCTGACGTACACAATGTGACACCATGTGGCAGGCCCACATTCCAACAGCAGCCCAGCCCTGGGCCCAGCCTAGAACACTGTATTAGGTAAAGAAAATGCAGGGGGCTTGTGAAGGGCGGGGGTAGGAGATTGACAGGTTGAAAGGTGCTGTGAGCAGACCAAAAGCGCTGCCGCTGTGAATTTCTGTTTTTGAAAAAACATAGGTCCCATGGTTTCCCTTATTTGCAATAACCAGTGTATGTCTGAGACAAGCAGAAATGGTCAGATAAGTTGATGTTAGGTGAAATGAACCCCAAGATAAGGATTCAAATGTTTTTTCTTTCTTACGATTGTTTCTAGCATATTTATGAGATGATTTCTTTGTTGCTTTGTATGTCCCTCCCCGACGGTATAACCCCTGCTTTCACTGTATTTGATGTTGGTATAATTTGTGGAGGGGAAGGGCAAAAACAAATCGTTTAAATTGGGATGTCGGTGGACCCATTGCAACGAAGAGATGTACAAGTCGTTATGTTGAAAACGAGCTTTACAACTTTGGCAGGGGTGGGGGAGCTGGGAAGGGATGGGAAAGAGGGAAACAAAGGAGGAGGCAACAATGCTTGATAAGAAATGTACACATTATCTTGCCCATGTAATTGTAACCCCTCGGTACAGTATTTTCACAATTAAAAAAAAAAAAGCAGACATGCTCTGAATACTGCACGATCTGCACATGCCACACTTGTACCAGCCTCCCCTAGGCCTCAATGTTCTTAAAATTCCACAACACTAGGGCAGAGGGCCCTCAATCAGTCTCCCAGAAATGTCCCCTTTATTTTGTGGGGAGGTCCTCTTCTCTCACAGTCCACCAGGCTGCATAGGATTTCCATCTCTAGCCATAACTAAGGCTGAAATGAAATCTAGGTTCCAGAACCTTGCAATCTGCCTTCTATAGAACTCTATTTTTAGGCCTCATTTACTAAAAGGAGAATTTCCTATAGGGTTTTAAAAGTACAGATCTGAGAGGCTTTTCTTTTGACTAGAGACCTTTAGGCTGAGGCAGCAACAAACAATGCTAATGGTGATAATGGCAATAAATCACATTTAAGGTTTATTCACAGAGAACCCAGACACTCATCTACTTGTTTTACAAACATTACATCATTTCATTTCTCTTTTCTTTTTCTTTTTTGTGCCAGTCCTAGGGTCTCATGGACTTTCCTGCCCAGGCTGGCTTTAAACTGAGATCCTCAGATCTCAGCCTCCTAAGTAGCTAGGATTACATGTGTGAGCCACTGGTGCCCAGCACCTCATTTCTTCTGGAAGCAGCCTGTTAACTAGGTGCTATTTTCCTTCCCATTCTACAGATGAAGAGATTAAGTAACCACTGTCATCACTTATCTAGCAAGTGGCCAGAATTCAGTGTTTTAGTTCTTAGCTCCCAGGATCTGCTAATTTTGAGCAGTAAGTAGTGAAGTGGTGCTGCCATCCCAGGGCTCAGTTGTTATTAGGGAGTGGTGCCATGTGAGCCCAACTCAACCAATACCCTGCTGCCAGATCTTTGCTCCTTCAAGTGTGGTCTGAGGCTAAGCATGCTGCTGTGGGCTACGTACTCCCAGAAGCTTGCTGGAATGCAGAATCCCAGACCTCCACAAGGAGAATCTGAATTTTATATAATGATTACCTGGACTGCTCTGGAAAATGGCCTTTTTGCTTTTGCTTAAAAGTTATCTTTTTTGTTTCCTCCAAATTTTTTTGGTTGAGTACCCCCCACCCTATGCACCCCCATCCTGGTTTCTGCCTTTAATTTGGGCCCTGAGAAATGCTGTCTAACTTCCCTCCAAAGTGAAATGCTGCAGGGCTTTTCCAGGCAGCAGGTGCTCAGTATATCTTTCCAGACAGGTCTAAACCCTGCTAGCTATAGGCCGGAGCTCTGAGGAGGCCCCATGGACAATGCCAGCCTCGAGGCAGCCAGAGAAAGAGAGGCATCATTCTGGCATCATCTTTCAAGCCTGCCACTAACATTGCTGCATAACACCAAAAGAACTGAACAACGCTGCTACTGGGGCAGATATAGGCATTCAACCCTCAAAGAGAAAGAACTCTGGGCCTTCCTCTGTCCTCCCTTAAAGCCTCCACCACACACAGTCAGCTCCTCTGCACTCTAGTGCAGGGAACTCCAAAGGAAAACAGTCTGGGTATTGGTGGGAGGTGGGGGGGAGGAAAGGAGGAAGGCTGGCACCTCATCCTTGTCTGTTCCAAGCTGAGCTCACATGGCCAAAATTCAGGCCACAATGGTCCTGTGTGAACAGTTAAAGCTCACCCTTTGGATTAGACAACACGTGCAATGGAATTACATTATGTAAGGCCCATAGAGCCAGAGGCAGACAGAATTAGAGAAAAACCAAATTGGGATTTCTAAAATACAGAAAGGGCTCTGTAACTCCATAATGCTAGCCCTTTAGAATAAAAAAGCAGATCCTCTGATTACATTCTTAAACCTAGGGAATACCTTTTCAAGGGACAGCAGATTCTCTGTTGTGAAATGTCTCATTTGTTGGTCATGGGAAGAGAAAGGATGATAGTGAATTGGTGATCGTCCTTGACCCAGTTCCTCTGCTTCAAGCCAAGGTTATCTAACCATAATGGTGATACCACTGGCCGGCACAGAGTGGCAACATAGGATATTAATAGAAGTTAACTTCTAAGTAATTAAGAAAGCTTAAAGTCCCATGAAAAAGTGTAACCTACAGTCACAATGCATGGCACTGGGATTGCTTTCTAAGTCTCATTCAGATGAAAACACATTTTTTTTCTAATTTCAAAGAGAAAGATGAAGGTTTTCATCCCTCTTGGGCAAATGGAACCATCCCTGGCTGTAGAACAGTAAAGTGCCTTTCTTGGGTATCAGAGTAAATAGCCGGGAAAAATACAAATTTCCCTAGCAGCAGACTCAGTCCTCTGCCTTGCTTCTTGCTGAACAAGTTCCAAGGAAGCCTTGTCCTCTTTCGGCAGTGTTTAGCTCCCAGCATTTGGGAGGAGACACACCCAGGAGTTCCCCGTTTGCCTCATTTACTAATTCTAAGAGAAATGAGCTGAGAGAGAACACATTTTGTTTTTACTAATTCCCTCTGTCCTGGAAGTTCCTGAAAGAGGTGCAACACAGAGCCAGGAACCAAATGATTCGACAAAGCATGAGGAGAACGGTTGCAAGCATCTGTCTAGCTTGACACAGGCAGAGAAAGGTAATTCGAAGCAGCAAGGGCCTCTTTTTGAGTACCCATTTTAAAATCTAGAAGCTGCTTGCATCTTTCCTTCTCACTGTAGTTATCTCCTTCCAGATGTGACAAGCTTGAGGAAGGAGTGCATGGGGGGAAAGGCATAGGGCTTAGCCAACTGATAACTGAAAAGACATTCTTGGGGTTCATAGTTACAATTAGCCTATAAACGTCCCTCTATTACCAAGGAAGTAAAATGCTAGACTTTGCCTGTGCCAATAAATGCCCACATGGCTTGGTTGCCTTCCTCCAGCCTCTTTTAGACCATGCCAACAATGTTATTTTATTTCAATTCCATCTGCAAAAATAATGAAAAACAACAAACAAAATCCCACTGCGCCATAGTGAAGGATGCTTGGGACAGATTTTGATTCCCCTTGCTTCTGGAAGATGTCCCCCCCTCTCCCCCACCACCTTCCTAGAGAAGCTGTTCTGAGATAGCAACTCAGGCAGTCATTACCTGGTGGCACAATTAATAATTCCCCAGACCACTCCCAGGATGCAGAATAGTCACAGCAAATTATACATATTGTAGTTTCATAGTGCAGCTGGCTGGAACCCTCACTCTCCACCTACCTCCAGCCCTGTGCTCAAAACAGCAGGCAATTCTGCCCTCAATACATCTATGAGCTGGAGAAGAGAGGCTGGCGGGATATCTGTGGCCAGGCCCAGGAACAGTTCCCATATTCGATCTGTTTTGTGTTATTTCACCTCTTTCTCCTGAATGCCAAAATTAATGAGACGTCCTGCCAAGGCGTTGTAGCAACACACTTCCCAGGTTGCTCGGCTTGGCTTGGATCAGTTTAGTAGTCTAGTGCTTCTCAAACTCAGTAGCAAGGAGCCCTTTCAAAACTCTACTGCCCAGATCAGAGCTACTCAATCAGAAATGGAGGTGGGGCCTATGTGTCCTTGAAAGATCCTTAGATGATTCTATGGGCAGGAAGGTGGAGAAACCCTCCATTTTATTTTCTTCTGCTGCATTATGGTTGTTTACATTGTTCTTTCTTCACTAAAATGCAGGTTCTAGATCTAGAGCAAGGACACATAACTGCCTCATCACTACTGTACCCACAGTAGTGTCTGGCACATACTAGGCCCTCACTAAATAATCACCCTTCTACTATTTGCTTTCTGACACAGCCTTTGACTTCAGGATTTAATCCAGGCTTCTGAGTTGCCACCATTCATTTTTTCCTCTTTGCTCTTCAAAGCACAACTGTAAAAAGGTGACCCACAAAAATCCATAAACACCTAGATCCTAGTAAATTGCAATTTAATCAGCAAACATTTTTTGTTGTGGAGTCGGACTCTCCTCTATCACAAAGATACAGGCAATCCTATGCAATGCTTCCCCAAACCCAGTAAAAGCAGCACCTTCATGACAAAGCAGTCAGCAGAAAGCCACATTCTATTGACTCTGTTCACACTGGCACCCTGCCACCAAGAGGGGACAAAGTCTGAGGCCTGGTTTAATGTCCACACTGGAGATGGTCATTTGAGCCTGTTTGTCAACACCAACCTCCTATCTATAGAAACTGGAGCAAGAGAGCCATAGAACAGCCTGAAAACCATGTGGACAGGCTCTGTCTAGGGCTATCTTTAGTTGTTCCCTCTACAGAAAGGGGGCAGGAGGGGGCACTTAATAGACCTGCTGCTAGGAGCACTCACTTTCCCGGCAGGGCACACACTGTGGAGAAGAATAGTATGTTGAGAGCCACTGTATCCTGGGAATCAGCCTGCCCATCTGTGCAGCAAGGCTGAGAGCAAACAGCCCTCAGAACAATGCAAACAAACCAGGCATTACTTGCTGAGCCTTTTAGAGTGATGGGTACAAGATGTATCCAGATTCCTTGGTTCTGAATATTAGTTACAGAGAGAACACACCAACAACCTCAGACTCCTTGCTTCTGAATACTGGTTACAGAAAGAACACACTAACAACCTATCTGTTTCATCTTTCCTATGAACTGCTTCCTGGGAGTAGTGAAACATAGTTCATGAAACCCTAACCTACAATGGCCTGTCCTATAAAAATAGTCTAATAAAACTATATAACTTGTGGGTAGGGACAGCAGGGAAAAACTGAGGGAGAGCAAAAGAAATGTGTTCACTACTTAACTTATGAAATGGTAACCCCTCTGTACATCACCTTTATAATGACTATTTAAAAAATCATCTCATGAGAATAGGGAGAAAAGGGAGGGAGGGACATTTTGGTTCCCTCTTAAACATTTTCTATGGTGGGGGGGAGGTAATGTGGGACGAGGTGACACTGACAGGATGATCCCTGGTACAATTACTTAATAAAAAGTTTTCTAGTAAGGTCCAAGCTGCTGAAGATTGTTTACAATGGGTTATGGATTGTTCTGGAATTCAAGTACTGCAACCTAAAGATGCTCTAGGAGGAGAGTGGAGGGAATTACCTAATACTAAAGCAGGCCCTTCCAGAAGCAGGTTTGGGTGGGGAGGGAAGCCAGGATGAGGGAAAAGATGGATCTAAACAAACCAGAGGCTCAGGGGTGACCTTCACGGGGCTAGCCATGGGTTTGTGATCGGAAGCCACCCCTGCCCTCACACGGTATTTTCTCTTGGCCCTCCCAGAGCACATCCCTCAAGAGCCCACCACCAGGGGAGTCCCCATTCTGTTCCGTCCCTGGCGGGCTGCCAGTCCTAGGTAGGGCTCGTCGGCCTCACGCCTGCACGGCTTGGGAGGTCAGAACGACGGATCGTGACGTCGGTACACCGGGATCGCCGAGTGCGTGGAGGGGGCCAGAAAACGCGGGGCGAGGTGGGGCCTGGCCCACCGCGGGCGGGCGCCAGGACGGTGACTAGCCATCTCCTGGCCCCTGCCCCGCCCCTTCGGGACGGAGGGGAGGGGGTGTCAACCTCCCCATCTCCCCCCACCCCACCCAGGCCTCCGACCCCACGCGTCTCCTCACCTCCACCGGTTGATCCCCACGGATGAGGAGGCCGCGAACCACGGGTCGAGGATATAAACGCAGCGCACGCAGCGAGCCCCGCGCACGGCCGCCAGCAGCGCCGGGTTGTCGTGGAGCCGCAAGCCTTTGCGGAACCAGTGCACCGACGACGCGCCATCCGCTCCGCTCGGTGGCGCCGGGACCGCCACTGCCGCGGTCACCATAGCGGCCGCCATCGCCGTCCAGAATGCGCCCGGACGCCGCCGCTCCGCCTTCGTTGGCACCTCGAACCACGCCCACAACCCGCCCAGTGACCTATGACGCCTCCGCTCCTCCATATACCCCCGCCTCCAGGCTATCGTAGGCCCTCTCTTATTGGCTGAGGGCCTCAAGCTCGGTGATTGGCCCAGCGGCGCCAGCTCCGGCTCCGCCCACTCACGTTCCCACCATGTGTCTCTCGGCCGGGTTTAGATGGGGCGGGTCGGCGAGTGACGCAGGCGGGCACTCCCGGGCGTGGGCCGAGGCTGGGGACTGCGGATCCCTTACACGCACCCTGTTCAGGGCCTGGAGTCAGCTGGCCAAGGTTGCTGTGACTGCAGCTAGTGACTTAGAGAACTGACAGCCTGCCTTCTGGATCACCATGGGCCACAAGGTTGTGGCCAGCTACCCACTCGGCCCGCCATTTACTGAGCACATTTTATAGGCCAGAGATCATGATGGTTTCTTAAACTGTCTTGTGTACGAACGTGATTTCATTCAACAAGCCCCAACGAGATTGCTACTTGACAGTTTTGCTCCTCGAATCACAAAACAAATAGGATTCCACCTAGAGTCTTCTGATTCCAAAGCTTCTGCTTTTCAGCTGGGAGCTTGTGGCTCACACCTGTTATCCTAGCTAATCGGGAGACTGAAATCTGAGGATCATGGTTCAAAGTCAGCCTGGGCAGGAGAAAGTCGGTGAGACTCATCTGCAATTAACCAGCAAAAACCCAAAAGTGGCGCTGTAGCTCAAGTGGCAGAGCTCTAGTCTTGAGTGGAAAAGCTATGCAAGAGTGCAAGGCCCCGAGTTTAACCCTCAGTATCAACAAATACACATACACTCGCTTGCATTTGCTGGGCAGAGGTGACTCACACCTGTAATCCTAGTTACTCAGGAGGCTGAGATCTGAGGATTGTTGTTCAAGGTCATCCAGACAGGAAAGTCCATGAGACCCTTATCTCCAATGAACTACCAAAAAGCCAGAAATGGAAATATGGCTCAAAGTAGTAAGCTGCTAACTTCAAGTACAAAAGCAGTTCCCAGACCCTGAGTTCAAATCCCAGGACTGCCATACACACAAACAAAGCTTGCATTTGTTTTTAACCCTCTCTGTGCATTAAGATCCTTAGCATATGCAAGTGGCAGTGTTTAAGGAAGACAAGAGTGTCCTTATTTACTAGTGCATCAAAAGATATGCAAGCTGGTATGAAATATGGAGGTAGGGATTGGTAATTATAAGGGTGAATTTGCTTTCCATCTGTGTTAGCAACTTAAAGGCACTTTGTGCAAAAGCCCTGGACTGAATTCCATGTGGACTGCAGAGACAAAGGGGGGGCACCGTATCCCACGCTTTCCTGAGGGAAACCCTCCCATTCTTCTGGAGTTGATTGACTGAATGTCCTTTCCAGCTGCAAAGTGTTGAGGATGGGCAGCAGCGTTGACCTTACTGAGTGGAAGACAATCTCTTTCAACTGGTCCAATGGTGATCCGTATTTACAACTCTTCCAGGACTTGGGAATGAGCAATGAAGGGATTTATAGTCAGCAAGTTAGAGGCATTAATTGACACCACTCTAAATCAAGTGTCATTGGCAAACCTAGGTGCTTCCTCTCCCTTCCTGGGTTGTGTACAAGCTGTTCCCTTAGCATGGATCACATGGCCTGCCCTACTCCCTTCCTAATTTCATGTTACTCTGTGTCATTGCTTAGTATAGATGTCAGCTTCTTACCATCTGGGCCTATCTCAATCTGCGCTCCTCTTAATCCCTAATGCATCATTGTTCATCTGCCCCATTAGATTATTAATTTGATATTAGGTAATCCCCTCAGTCCCCCTCCCTCAGCACTGGGGCCATGGCTTATTTATACTTGTATTTTCATGGTCCATTTCATGGTCCATAACACTGGAGGATTATTTGAATGAAAGGGACCAGAGTCTCTGATTGGCAGAGATTCTAAGTCCCTACACTCAGTCCCTACACCTGACTCGAAGCTTATTTATGAATAAGATGCTGAATGAATCAATGCCACCTCCCATTATTTTCTGTTGAAGCACTATAATTTCTCTTCTTCTCCCTCTTTTTGCGGTGCAAGATAGATACCTGCTAAGAAGCAAGTATGCTTTATCCTTGGGAAAGTGAGTTAACCTCTCTGTCCTTCACTTTTTTTTTTGCCAGTCCTGGGGCTTGAACTCAGGACCTGAGTGTTGTCTCTGAGCCTCTTTGTGCTCAAGGTGCAATAGCGCTCCACCACTTGAACAACAGCTTTTTCTGAGTAGTTTTTTGGAGATAAGAATCTCATGGACTTTTCTGCCCAGTCTGGCTTCAAACTGTAGTCTTAGAGCTCAGTCTCCTGAGTAGCTAGGATTATAGGTGTGAGCCAGCAGCACCCAGAGTCTTCACTTTCTTAATAGATACAGTAGAGATGATAAGAGTACCTTAAAAACTGTAAGTACTTATACTATGTAAGTGTCTGTTATTCTGAACAGTAGGATTTGATGTCAGAGTTTGCACTGTTGCATGTAATGCTTAAGACTTAATCTTACATGTAATTTGTGGTATCATGAGTGATTAAAAGACTTTACTCATTTTTTTTTGTCAGTAGCGGGGCTTGAACTCTGGGCTTGGGTGCTGTCCCTGTGCTCTTCAGCTCAAGGCAGGCACTCTACCGCTTGAGCCAAAGCGCCACTTCCGATTTTCTAATGGTTTATTTGAGATCAGAGTCTCATGGAGCTGGGTGCTGGTGGCTCATGCCTGTAATCCTAGCTACTCAGGAGGCTGAGATCTGAGGATCATGGTTCAAAGCCAGCTCAGACAGGAAAGTCTGTGAGATTCTGATCTCCAATAAACCACCAGAAAACCAGAAATGGTGCTGTGACTCAAGTGGTAGAGCTGAGGCCCAGAGTTCAAGCCCCATGACTGACAAAAAAAAAAAAAGAGTCTCATGGACTTTCCTGCCCAAGCTGGCTTTGAACCGAGATCCTTAGATCTTAGCCTCCTGAGTGGCTGGGATTACAGGTGTGAGCCACAGGCACCTGACTTTACTCATTTTTCATGTCCTCAAAATTACACCAACCATAAAGAACCAAGATAAGCAGTCAGTCTCCCCAAATCTCACCAGTCAGTTGTTTCCTGTCCTCAAGTTACCTTCTGGACTTGGTCCATCTGCATCTAAATGAACGGCTTTCATCAAAACTGAGGCCCCAGGCCATTCCTTTCTCAAGCCTCCTTATGCTGAGCACATTTCAATTGCTGTGTATTGTCTTTGTTCTGCCTGCTTTGAGTTTTATCACTAAACTGATAAAGATGAATTCATTCATTGAATGCCTATTGCTTAGGCATATTAACAGAGTAACATGTAGGGAGCAGGAAATGAATCTAGCACTAGATAGAATACTGCTGTGCAAAGTCCACTTTTGCGGTTTACCACAAGTCAAATACTGATTGTTAAAGAGTTAAAACAATCAGGTACTATAGTCTTATCTCCCTACCTCCTTCCTTTCCCCTCCCGTCTCCCATTTCCTTCCACAAAGTCCCACTGTGTAGCCCAAGCTGGCCAGGAATGTGATCCTCCTGTCTTACTTAGTCCTCAGGGTGCTGGGATTACAGGTATGAACCAGGGTGCTCAGCTTTTGCTTGTGCTATTTCTCTTTAGGAAAATCAGAACTGATGACTTCATCCCTGTTTATCTCCATATTTACAAGCACCTCTGAAAAGAGGTTGTCATGAGGAGTTCTACTACAGTAGAAGGAAAAAAAAATCACACTAGAGAGTGAAAGGCTCAAGAAAGGATTATGGATGAGACAAATTAGCCAGGAAGTGGGTGCTGACTCTCTTCTCTAAAGAAAACAGCTAAGTCTCATTTTGTCTTTATGTTGTTGTTATAAAAGTCCTGTAGGGAGACTGGATCAAATTTTCTGCACTGGCTTTGACTTGTGCATTGTAAGTATTTGATGAGTGATGGAAGGGTAGTACAACGCAGAGGCTCTTCCCAGCCAGGTTAAGCTACTCATGCCCTCTAGTGGCGAGACAGGGAAGGGGCAGCTCCAGTCCCGGGTACAGTCCTTCTGGAGGGTCCAGGTCGGCTTCCAAGACTACACCCAAAGCCTGCTATGGACAAGCATGTTTTTCTTTGGAACTATTCAGACTGAGAAGCTATAAAGCTTTCTGAAAGCATAGGCTGTATAATTCTCTGAGTTCCCTTTCTAGCTCCATCAGGATCCATTTAATTAAATACTTCCTTAAAATACAGAAGCTCTCTCTAACTTCTGTGGTCCTCCGTTTGCTCATTTGTAAAATGGGAGTGAGAATGAGAAGTACAGATGCAGATGGAATTGGAATAAGATTGACTTCAGAATCATGAAACAGACCTGTAAAAATCTGAGCATCTCACACATGACAAATATGTCTTTGTAGAGAGGAGGGGAAAGGTGGTTTTTCCTGTCATGACAATGGATCTGTCAGATTTCCTACTGTAAAAATATAAGATTTGGCTCCATTTGCCAAGTACACACAAGTCAATTCCAGGTATATCATTTGCTTACTGTGAAAGGTAAATAACAGGTGACTGTCTTCATCACTTTAGGTGCAAGATTTCTTGCCCCAAACATGAAAAGATATCCACAAAGGAAAATACTGATAAATTGCATTAGAATTAAGAACTTGTGACTTTGAAATTATGTAATCATTTAATCACAATCAAAAAAAAAAAAAAAAAAGAACCTCGGGGAAGGGAGGGAGGGAGGGGATGGTAGGGGGAAAACAAAAAAAAAAAAATTAAAAAAAAAAAAAAAGAATATTTTCTATAAAAATCATTAACAAGGTGAAAAATAAACTTCAGGCTGGTAGAAAATACTTGTAACACTAATAATTTCTTTTTTCTTTTTTTCCTGAGACTGAGGTTTGAACTTGGGACTTTGTACTCACTGGGTTTAGTTGTTCATGGCTAGTGTTCTACCTACCATTTGAGCCATGTCTCTAGTTC